AAAAAAAAAAAAAAAAAAAAAACAAAAAACAAAAAACAAAAAACAAACAAAAGTTGCAATTTCTGTACTTAATCAGCTGGCAAAGTTCATTCTGAATTTAGTATCCTCAGTTGTCTCTCCTTGACATATGTCCAGATATTCATTTTCAGTACAATGGATTTTTATCTGGAATAATGCTACTCTCCATTGCACGGATATTTCAGGTAAACAAAGAAGTACTTAGTTAGATTTCCCCCACTTAGTATGGTTTTTGGCTTGTAAAGACAACATTGTAATGGGTGATAGGTAAATTTATGTGACTCATTGTTTAGTTTCCAAGAGCTATAGACATTTTTATTGGGTATTTTCATAAATTCCATAATGCTTTTTGACATTAATCTTCATTATTTCACAGATGAGAAAAGTGATAGGGAAAACTTCAATAGCAAAATACCTAGGAAATGTCACAATGTAAGATAACTTCTGCCCTTTGCTGTGTTTAGTTCACAATTAACCGGCACCAGAGGCATCTAGTCTCCATTGCCTTGGCTAGAATAGGTAACTCTTAAAGGTGACCTCCCCTAACAAAGAGCTGCGTCTGGGTTGAAATTCGCCTGCCTCTTGCCACCATGTTTTGAATATCAGCAATGTGAACTGTGAAAGTGCAATGTAAACCAACTGAATGGGATCAAGGCTGTAAAACCCTATAAAAGAAGGAGTTGTAACCCAATGGGGAATCGATCAGGGCACCGCCCTTAGGTGTCATCGATCCCCATCGATGAAGTAAACTATTTTGTTTTACTTACATTCTGCGCACTCTGTGTGTCACTTGCCAATTCCTTCCATGACAAAAGTATACTCTCAGAATTGAGAGTGTGATAGGCCTGAGTTAAACTTGTGTTTCTATGTTTGGTTAAGATCCTTTCTGTAGGAATGGAATCTCCAGCAGTTTTTACAATATAATAAGTAGATGGTGATGCTATTCCATAAGAAGCTTACAGACTATATAGGAAAATATGAGATTTGGAATCAAAAGATCTGGATTGAAATCCTAATATTAATGATCTGTGTGACTCAAACAAGAGTTACACAAATATACTGGTTTCTTGAGATTAGTTACATACACTGTAATGTCTTGCTGAGTAACCTTATCAACATTCTGTGAAGTTGTCTCAGTATTGTCCTTTTATTATTTTTTTGTTTTTTTGCAACAGGGTCTTGCTGTGTATATCAGGCTGGCTTCAAACTCTCAGTGATCCTCTTGCCCCAGCCTCCTAAGTGCTGGAATTCTGGGCAATTCTTATATAGCCTGAATCAGGGTTTAGGAATCTCCCAAATAATTTTGATACATCCCCACATTTGAGAACTCTTGACTGAAAGCAAGTCATTGAGCCATCTTAGCTTTAGTTTTCATCCGTAACATGAAATTATTTTTTCACTTTTTATTTATTTATTTTTTGGTACTGGGGATTGAACTCAGGTCATTGCACTTGCAAGGCAGGCGCCAGAACCACTGAACTAAATCCCCGGCCCCACTTTTTTTTTTAAATGATGCTACCTATCACAGAGACTTTGGAAAGATCAAATTCAATAATCTATTTTAAAGTTATCTGTCAAATGTAGCTGAAGATGTAACTCAGTGGTAAAGCACTTGCCTAGCATGTATGAGATGTAGGGTTCAACCTCTAGCACTCCAAATATGTAAAAAATGAAGTTCTTTGTCAACTATAAATATCTAGATAAATTTTTCTCTTTTAACCACCAAAAGCCATATAATGCATAGAGCATAATTAGTGTTCAGTGAATGATTGATGGATGGTTATTGAATAAATGAACTAAAATTTTATTGCAGAATCAATTTAGACTTTATCTGGATCTCAAATAAGTTACAGAATTGGTGAAGAGAGATCTGGAAGCACCTCAATTTGTTTCCTTTTCCTTATTCCTAAATGTGCCTATTCCAGACCACACCCGATGAGCCAGTGAGAAAAGAAACTTGGTCTTTTGTGGTCCCTTTGGCAGTTTCCCTTGTTGAAGGCCAGGACCATTACCACATTTGATCCTTCCAAAATTCTGTGCGGTAGGTAGACTTTACTTCTTCAGGTAACTTGGCCTTTATGGTTTTGTGTTTCTTAATCAGAATACCTTTACTTCTCCTCGGTAGTTTGTTAGGATCGTGTGCTGTACCTTATGCCATTATGAAATAATTACTTAGTATGTAATATAAAAGATTTGGCCAGGCACAGCAGTATGTGCAAATAGTTCTAGCTCCCTAGGGAGAAAAGTATGTTGCTACTGATTATATAGCTTTATCTCAGCATCCGGATTAGTACTTCATAAATATTTGTTGAAGTGAAGAATTGTGTTCTTATATTACTTATAGAATATATTTACCTATTTATCTATTTATTTTTTATTTTTTGGTTTTTTTTGTTGTTTTTTGAGATAGGGTCTCAGTATGTTGTTGAGACTGACTTAACTCACTATGTAGCCCTGGCTGGTCTGGAACTCATAGTGATCCTCCTGCCTCAGTCTCCCAAGTGCTGGGATCACAGGCATGCGCCACCACGACCGGCTTGTCTTTTTTTTTTTAGTGGTGGTATTTTTGCAATACTGGGGATTAAACCCAGACAGGGCCATTACACTGAGTAACATCCCCAGCCCTTTTTATTTTTTATTTTGAGACAGGGTCTTGCTAAGTGACTAACTTGACCTGTTGGGCTCAAATTTGCAGTCATCCTGCCTCATCCTCCAAGGGTGCTGAGATTATAGAAAAGTGTCAGTGTACCCAGTCTACCTTGAATTTTTAAGACTTTTTATTATGCATGCCTGTAGTCCCAGCTACTCAGGAGGCGGAAGCAAGAAGATTGCTTGAGTGTAGGAGTTCAAGCCTAGCCTAAACAACATAGCAAAACACTATCTTCAGGGGGAAAAATTATTTTTCTACTTTATAATAAAAATGTTTGAGAATAATTTTGGCTTTACTGATAAATTGCAGTAGTTTAGAGTTCTGTACACCCCTCACTCACTTTCCCCTAATGTTATATCGTATGTAACCATTCATCAAAATGAAACAACAAAACTAAACTAAAAAACCATTGTTGGTTCATTTAAATTTTACCAGTTTTTCCAGTAAGTCCATTTTCTGTTCCAGAATACTATACTATTGCATTTCATTTGTCTTGAATTTTAACATGTTCCCGCTGGCTTGAAAACATTGGTAGTACTTTCATGACTGCCCCTTTGGGTAGCTTGTACCACAGATAGATCTAATCCCTTTTATCAGTCTTTTTACTAATACAATTAATAAAAAGCTGCCCGATGGGACAGTCACGCAGGTACCACTGAACTGAGTGGTTCAAGACACTAAGCAGTGAGACATGAATTATGGTCCCATTGTGTGTGAAAGTGACATCTTTTCTCTTTTCAATCTCCTAGAAAAGACATATAGAAGGAGCATTTCTCTTTGCTGTTCTCCTACATTTCAAGCACATCTATGTCTATGTAGCTCCAGCTTATGGTATATATCTACTACGATCTTACTGTTTTACTGCAAGCAAACCAGGCAAGTTTTATGATAGCAAATTATTTTTTTCTTTCATAATCGTATTGACTCAGTGGATTACTTGATAAGATTAAGCACAACAGATATCTCAGTTAATGATCATATGAACCCTCTACTCATCCTGACTTTTCTGCATTTCTCACATTATTAAGATAAATTAGCCAGGCGTGGTGGCGCACGCCTGTAATCCCAGTACTCGGGAGGCTGAGGCAGGAGGATTGCTGTGAGTTTGAGACCAGCCAGGGCTACATAGTGAGTTCCAGGTCAGTCCGAACTACATAGTGAGACCCTGTCTCAAAAAACTGAAGAGAAAAAAAAAGAAATTAATGCACTGTTGAGGGATACTGTTGGGGGTTACTTCTCCATGCTCCTGGTTAATGATAATGTTCCTTTTCTGTAGATGGGTCTGTCCGATGGAACAGTTTCAGCTTCATTCGTGTTATTTCCCTGGGACTGATTGTTTTCCTAGTTTCTGCACTTTCATTGGGTCCTTTCCTAGCTTTGGTAAGCTTTTTTCTTTTTAATTTTTAAAAATAAAGTCATACATGGTTTTTATTGCATAGAAAGACTATTTAAGCCAGGAAGGTATTAAATAATTTAGAGTCACTCCTTCCTTATGCCTACCCAGTATGACTCTATGTCTCTGCCAAGATAGGGTATTCTTTTATTTTTGTGCATACTCAGATATGAATATTTTATGTTAACTATATATTATACACAGAGACACACAGAATTGATCCTTACTGTGGCTTCTGTGTTTCCAAGATTTACCTACTTTCTCACATTTATTTAGAATCCACAAAAATTAGTACTTTTGCAGTCTTTCATGAATAGCAAACTTCCCAACGCACCTAGAATATAACAGGTGTTCAACTGTTTTTTTTTTCTTGCCCTCCCCCAATCATTTTTAATTTCTACTGAAACTGAAAAGCACCACATTTTTGTAGTCTCCCTGCTTTCCCTTTCATCCAGTAGACTTGGATGAGCTGCATTCTGTGTTCTCCTTTGCACCTCACAGATTCTCCCATTAATTACACTTGCTTTGTAATAAATAGTATGGATTGGTATTCATAATGTTTTTATAAGGCCTGTTGAAAAGGTGAGACAAAAAGAAGTGTATGAACTGCTGGACATCACATAAGCATTTACCCAAAGGAACAAAGAGTGGAGCCCAGACCTTGTAACTTTCTACACAGTACACCATAGACTTTTCCAGCCTGTTTTTGAGTTGGAAAAGACTGATGACTGTTTAATCGATTTCATTTCTCTTTTTAACAGAACCAGCTGCCTCAAGTCTTTTCCCGGCTCTTTCCTTTCAAGAGAGGCCTCTGCCATGCATACTGGGCTCCAAACTTCTGGGCTTTGTACAATTCTGTGGACAAAGTACTATCTGTCATCGGTATGGTAGCAAGCTTTTTCACTTAGACTATGAGCATTGAAAGGACTAGTTCCATTGAGAAATGAAAAAGCCTGCTTGTGTTTTACATGTGGCAAATCGTTTGCTGGGAGGCCTGCATTTCAGCTTTCAGAATGAACAGGGAGCAGTTCTTGGGACTGAGGCTTTGGCGCAGTAAACAGGCTGCATCCCTTATAAAAGCTCCTTGTGGCCACAAGATTATGGATACTCTGGGGAAAAAATAAAGTAGGTAGATAATCTTTAGTTTCTTTCTTCTTTTAAATTTATTTTATTTTAAAAATAAAATATATTTTATCCCAATTCTCTACTTAGTCCCCCTCCCTCGCTTAATTTTTTTAAAGGTAATTTTTGCCTTAAGGGAAACATTATTCAGCAGTCAGGCCCACTTTTAAACTTAAATATATGAAGAAAAAGGAAAATTATAGCCATTTCAGCACAAGATGTAAAGAAATGAAAAGCCTAGGTTATGCCTTGTGTGTGTGTTTTGTTTTGTTTGTTTTGGTTTTGGTTTTTTGAGACAGGGTCTCACTACACAGTTGAGACTGACCTGGAACTCACTGTGTAGCCCAGGCTGGTCTCGAACTCACAGCAATCCTCCTGCCTCAGCCTCCTGAATGCTGGAATTACAGGTATTCACCACCAGGCCCGGCTCCATGTGTGTTTTGTTTAATATTGGGCCATATAGTTCAGACCTTGAACTCACAGTGATCCTGCCTCTGCCTCTTGAGTGCTGGTTATATGCAGGTGCCACAACATCCAGCAACACACAATGTATTTTTTTGGTCCATTGTGTACAAGCCTTTAAAAATGTTAGCTGAGGATGGTGGCACACACCTCTAATCTCAACACTCGTGGAATTTTAGGGCGGATCTTAATTTTGAGCATAAGTTGGGCAAACTAGTAACTTACATCCTCTCTCAAAATTAAAAAAAAAAACTAAAAAAGGCACGTGGCTCAATGTGAAGGCCTACGTTCAATCCCCAGTGCTACACATACATGAAGGTAAAAAGGCACATACTGTGATGCACATCCACGTTTCCAGCTCCTCAGAAGGCTTAGACAAGAAGATTGTGCACTTGGGAGTGTGCTTTGCCTGTACATTTATAAATCAAAATATATTAAAAGGTATCCTATAGAGGAATAAAGCTAAAAACCATTTATAGCTTCATATCCTTGCAAAAACATCACGGGCTAGATTTCGCCAGTGGGTGGCAATTAGTTGATCTAGATATCATTTGATCCTCATTATACAGTACTGGGCCGAGGTCTAGTACTTTCTTTGTTCCTACACAGCATGTTAGCATGTTGTAAGAAACAAAAGCAAGAATAAGGAAGCACTAAGTTATCAGTGGCAGGGACCTTGGAGCCAGATAAACCCAGATTCATTCCTACCAACTACTAGTTGTGACTTTGAACAAGCTTCTCCATCTTTCTGTGCCTCATGGGACTAAAAGTAATGGCTGCAAAGTCCTTGACACATGTTATAGGAAACTATAATTTGGTATTACCCCTCAAGTCTCTGTGAATTCAGCCTTCATGTGCATGGCATTCCTCAAGTACTTTTGAACATATGTTTCAAAAAAGCTTTAAACAGCATAATTTGAGGTATAAAAGCCACTTGCCTTGTGTAAGTTGAGAAACTGATACACCTTACTGCTTCTCAAAGATGTCTTTTTTTTTTTTTTTTTTTTTTTTTTTAATGGGTACTGGGGATTGAACTCCAGACTTTGTGCTTATGGGGCAGGTGGTGAAACCACTGAATTTGAACTAAATCCCTGGCCCCCTCAGAGATGTCTTACATGGAAAATCAGTGGCAAATTAGGCAAGTAACTTTTAGGGAAATGGTTGTTAGTTTTAAGAAAGATTCAGCAGGCTGATGAGGAAAGGAAGTAGGGCGAATAAATAGAAAATATTCTGGCAGTCTACATATTTCCCATGTTGCACAGATTTTCAATGGCATTAGATGGGGCTATAAGGTACTCAGATTGTCTGTGACTGTTCTGTTACCCTAGAACCTATTTGGGATGGGGCTTGTCATTTCAGACTTTATTTAATAAGTACAAGGTATGATCAAAATGTATAGTGAACGTTTAAGGTTTTGTTTTGTTTTGTTTTTTCCTCCTCATTGCACACACTTGTCCTATCCTTGCCACTTTCTGAAGCGGTTTTGGATGTCCTCTTTTGTGAATATCTTCATGAGGTATAATAAAAACACAGTAAGACAGGCATGGGGGCGCACGCCTTTAATCCCAGCACTCGGGAGACAGAGACAGAAGGATTGCTGTGAGTTCGAGACCAACCTGGGCTACCTAGTGAGTTCCAGGTCAGTCTCAATTACATAGTGAGACCCTGTCTCAAACAACAACAACAACAAACACAATGAATGCTGAAACCAAGTGCTGCCCAGTGGAAAGGCAGTCTCATAAAAACATCACAGCGTGTCTCCTTCCACCTCTGTACTGGATCTGGCACCTTCATGGTCACTTCAAAGAGACCATAAAACGTGTATCTTTTGAATCAATTCAGGACTTCAAGGCAGGCATGACAGCACAACTAAAGATACTCACAAATGAGGACTCCCAGAACTGCTCCAGGAAGTGGCAAGAATGGTGAGATAAGTGTGTTTGAAATAAGGGGGAGAATTTTGAGAGGGATTAATGGCAGTCTTTTACTGTAATAATTTTTAAAATTTAAACATTCACTGTATTTTTCAATCACACCTTGTATTTATTGAACTCCTATATCCTGGGAGTAGAAATGAACTCATCATTCTTGTCTTTAAGGAACACAGTATAGTAGAGGAAATGAGACTGTAAACAAACAGTGTAGTTTGAACACCAAAATAGAAGGCTGACCGGAAAATCAGCTCTTGATTTAGGAGCTTTCTCAGGGGAGTAATTGAATTTGGCGAAATGAGTAGTCATTCCAGGCAAGGGAGTAGCCTAAGCACAGGTGGTGACACTGGTGTTTGAAGACCCACACTTAGTTCACTGTGGCCAGGACACATTTAACAAAGTAGAGATGGAGCTGGAGAGATAGGAAGGGGATGGGTCATGGAAGACACTGTGTCCTGTTTTTAGGAATATGGACTTTGTCCTGTAGAAAATGAAGGATGCAAACTTGGGACATAGCATGGTCTGCATTTTATTTTATTTTTTTTATTTATGTATTTTTGGTCCCGGGGATCGAAGTCGAGACCTTGCATTTGCAAAGCAGGTGGCTGAACCACTGAGCTAAATCCCCAGCCTATGGTCTGCATTTTAAAACATTTGCTTCATTTCAGAGTAAGCATATTACTGTTCGCCCACTACTTGTTCATAAGGTTAAGCTACACAGATTCCCCATTCCTCCTGGCCATTGTGCTGTACACCTGTAATACCAGCACTTGGGAGGCTGAGGTAGGGGGATCAATCACAAATTTGTAGCCAGTCTGGGCTGTCTAGCAAGCTCAGGGCCAGCCTGGACTACATAGCAAGACATTGCCTCAGAACAAAACAACAACAACAACAAAAACCCATTCCTGTGGAAATAGCTACTTTACAAATTACAATCTTAAGGCCAGAAGCATTCTGCTGATGGGGAAAACTTTTATAAATAGCAAAAACATAAATGTTACAATGTAAAATGGCTTCTGCTGTCTCTAACAGCAGTTTGTTTTGTTTAGCTCAGAACTAATAGGCACTAATTGTGGAATGAGGCATTTGGTCTTACCCTGAGATAACAGGGCACATCAAGGTCTTGAGCTCCAAAGAGACTGGAGCCACATGATCATAAAAGTGTCTGGCTGAGGGCTTAGTGGTTCTGGCTCCTGCCTTGCAAGCACAAGGACCTGAGTTCGATCCCCCAGTACCGAAAAAAAAAAAAATTCTAGATGAACCCATTGCTAACATTTGTTCCCCTGACCCTGAACACCCTCTTCCTATGGATTAGAATAGATAACTAGGTGACTATTAAAGGTAAACTCCCCAACTGCGAAGAACTGTTACGTCTGGGTTGAAAGTTAACTATCCTGTGACCATGATTTGAACGGTGAGAATAAAATGTAACCACTCAAATGAAGTCAAGGCTGTGAAACCCTATAAAAGGAGGAGTTGTAATTCAGTGCATCGTTGATCTAGGCACAGCTTATGTGCGATCGACCCTTATCGCTGAATAAATTTGCTATTTTACTCCCATTCTGCTGCCACTCTGTGTCACTTACTGATTCCTTCCGTAACACTGCCAGAGGTAGAACACTATAGACATACATGTGTGGAGTCTTGCTTTAGGCAGCAAAAAGCTTTTTTTCAAAAAACTGAATGATAAAATGTGGAGTCCTCTTGCTTGATAAAAATAGAATAATATGTCTACTTATTCTGTAGGTTTAGAACTGAAACTTCTTGATCCTAACAAGATTCCCAAGGCCTCAATGACAAGTGGTTTGGTTCAGCAGTTTGAACACACAGTCCTTCCCTCAGTGACTCCCTGGGCAACAGTCATCTGCACTCTGATAGCCATATTGGTAAGAATTCAACAGATGGTACTCACTTCTTGCTTTTTCTCTGCCTTTCTATTGCCATGGTTGATTGAATTTCAACTTTCAAGCTTTTCCAACATAAGATAAATTTCATAGCTACCGTCCTGCAGATTGATTTTCTACCAATTCTTAGAGTAACTTTGAACATGGTAAAGAAGGATTTCGAGTAAAGCTTCTGTAAGAGGAATTCTTGCCATTGTATATTAGCTCATCTGTCTCCCCTGGGGTGGGGAATAAAGAAAAGGCTGGGGAGGAGGAGGCATGGACCACGCTATGAAGAAAGAGGAAATCTTTGTAGCAGAAGCACCCAGACTTTGTTTAGTTTTTCTCCTTCTTGGTCATATGATCAGAATTCCAAATTTGTCTAGACAGCATGGATGTTTTGTCGTAATGGTGATGAGGTGAGTCAGCAATAGCTCTGTGCATCAATTAAGAATATGCTTTGAGTCACACACTGTTAGAACCTTCATTCACACTTGTTAGTGATCACCGTGACCTCAATTTCATAATAGAATTTTATTGGACTTCAATATAAAAAAACTATTGGTAATTACACTCAGCTTTTACTTTGGTTTGTGAAAGATCCAACCTATTAGCAAGATACCTGACCCCATTTTACTATGTAGCAGTAGTTATATGTAGGTAACTAAATTCTGCTCGCCTACGTGTTCACGTGCTTTAACTGAGGTTAAAAACTTCTAAAATCTCAGCCTTGTGAACCAGGCTTATTGGTACATACATAAAATCCCAGCTACTCAGGAGGCAGGAGGATTACAAGATCAGCCTAGACTATTTAGACTTGCCTCAAAAAATATTACCTTGGGCTGGACATAGTGGTGCACGCCTGTAATCCCAGCACTTGGGAGGCCGAGGCAGGAGGATTGCTGTGAGTTAAGAGACCAGCCTGGGCTACATAGTGAATTCCAGGTCAGTTTCAACTACATAGTGAGACCCTGTCTCAAAAAACAAAACAAAACAAAACAAAAATTATCTTGGGCCAAAGATTTAGCTCAGTGGTTCCACCACCTGCCTTGCAAGTGCAAGGTCCCAAGTTCGAACCCCAGTTCAAAAAAAAAAATTATCTCAGTCCTGTAAACTGAATATAGAAGGCAATAGTTTTATTGTAAATTATATTTCAGCCCACAAAACTAGATGTTGACATGGTAAAATCTAATTTATCATCCCAAAAATATTTATGAGCTTTTCTCTTTGACCTAATGGAGTCAGTGGACATTAACTAATAATAAAGATATAATAAGTTATTATGTTGTATGTAGTAGAATAATGAATTAAATATGCTTCCAAATGGTTGCTTTCTCTTAGTATTTACTTTTTAATTTTTTTTTTCCTTTTTATTGAGTTTATTTGTACAGCCTAGGTATACAATACAGTTACATTCATTACTGGGATCCTGTACCTTCACATGACAGGTCTTGGTTCTCATTTTTCCCCTACTTTTATGTTAACTTTTGATGGACTTATACACAGAGCGATAAATTACCCCAATTTACTGGAGAACTGTTATTTTTATTACTTTCTAGATGTTTTTCAGAAGTGATGCTAATTGCCTTTGTCTGAACAGTGTTTCTTTAAAGCCCAGTTTTAAATAACACTGAAATTTTATTTTTGCCTATTATTTCTAGCCCTCTGTTTTCTGTCTCTGGTTTAAACCCCAAGGGCCCAGAGGGTTTCTCCGATGTCTGATTCTTTGTGCCTTGAGCTCCTTCATGTTTGGGTGGCATGTCCATGAAAAAGCCATTCTTCTCGCAATTCTCCCAATGAGGTAAGCAGAGCATAGCCCGTCAGCATTTCTGGCATATTTCACAATGTCTTACTGTTTTCCATTTGTTGTGCCCCTTCTTATACTGTTCAGTGGAATAGACAAAGGACCAGCGTCCCATTAGGCAGGACAGGAATGCTTAACTGGGATCTTTGGACCCAGAAAGATTCTGAAGTTTGTAAAAGTATAGGTAGTGTTTCTGCATTTTCTATGAGGTGTAGGGTATTAATTAACTGCCATGATAGGCTTGAATATTGAGTGGTAGCATAGCTTGGGGAAAAGCTTTGGCATTATCACATCCCTAAAAATAAATCCCTTGTCAAGTATTGTTTGTGTGAGTTGGTGCTGAGTTCATTCTAGAGTAACTCCATAATGTTTGTGCAGCACTTTAAACTTTCCAGATTTTTGTTTTGTGTTTTTGTTTTTGGTACTGGGGATTGAACGTGGGACTTGGTGCTTGCAAGGCAGGCGGCAGTACCACTGAGCTAAATCCGTGGCCCATATTTTTGTTTTTGCATTCTTTTGAGCCTGTCAACAACATTTAAGATAATCAGAATTAATCAGTATTGTATCCTCTGTTTTAACATCTGCAGAAATTAGGACAAGTCAGTTTGTGACTTAGCCAAAACCACATAGCTAGCAAATAGCACTTAGAGCTTCAACCTGACCTTAAAAGGCTGAATTTTATGCGCTTTCCACTGTGCTATCAAAATTTTTTTTCAGACAGATATGGTGGCACACACCTGTAATACCAGCACTCAGGGGGCTGAGGCAGAAGGATCTCTGCAAATTAAAGGCAAGCCTGAGCTAAATAGCAAGTTTAAGGTCAGCCTGAATTACACAGTGAGATCTTGTCTCAAACAACAAATAAATAAAAATTTTAATGTAAAAAAATTAATATAATTCAAACTCAGATCAGTGGTAATGGAATGACCCTTTTTTTCTTGAGGCTTTTCTCAAATTTGAGAAATCATTTAGGCTCTGAAAGATAAAGACATTAAACATGGGCCAGGGATTTAGCTCAGTGGTGCTGTGCCTGCCTCGAGAGCAAGGTCCTGAGTTCGATCCCCAATACCTCAAAAAAAAAAAAAAATTAAACATACTGCAGATCAGTCTATATTTTTCTCTGGTTTTATTTAGCAAGATGGTATTTCCAAATGAAAAAGTAGAGGAAGCCAGGCATGATGTGAGTTTGAGGCCAGCCTAAACTACACAGCATGACACTGTCTCAAAAAAAAATGATAAAAAATACAGCAAAACTTTTAATGTCATTAGTCTGAATTCTTTGTGCAGGTACAGGACGTAATCTAAGAGATGAGCTGTAGGGTTGGGAATGAAATTCCAAGTTCTGTTTCCCCAGCTGGAACCACTAGGAGACTCCCAGTCAGTCCCACAAGGTTTATTTCTTTGGAGAAGGCAATTAGGGAAGAAAGATTCATTTTTGAGTATTCCCTGATTTAGTCCAGTACCTCTATCAGTTGCTCAGAGTTTCCTACAAAAAAACTTAATTCTCAATTGCATTGGACATGTAACACTATCAATGTTTATGCTTAAACTAGTTCTGGGAATAATAATAGATGCAATTATTTCAAGATCTTTTCAGGTATTATTTTAGTTGTTTTAAGGAATTATTATAAGAATTTTTATTTTTAGCCTTTTGTCTGTGGAAAAAGCAGGAGATGCTTCAGTCTTTCTGATTTTGACCACAACGGGACATTATTCCCTCTTCCCTCTGCTCTTCACAACACCAGGTAAATAAATAGCTTCTTAGAGAGATGCGTTTGACTATCTATCTTCCCCTTTTCATCACAGCCTAGAGATCAGTACTCACTGATTGAAACTACCCCTTAATCTTGTGGAAGGAGAGATCTCATCGGTTCTCTTAAATAAAATCTGCAATTTACCCCTAATGTTATTTATCTTTCGATGTCACAAAAACAATTAAGGTCAGAGCCGGGATTTAACTCATTGCTACTGTGCCTGCCTAGCAAGTTCAAGGTCCCGAGTTCGATTTCTGGTACCAAAAATAAAAAGTAAACAAGGTCAAAAACATTAATAGATCATTATGATGACACATTATTAACTCTGTCATTGTGCTTATATTACTTTAAATATCATGAATCTTCCTTATTAGCTAAATTATTGTTTTTTGTTGTTGTTCTTTTAACAGAACTTCCCATTAAAATCTTACTCATGTTACTATTCACCATCTATAGTATTTCTTCACTGATGACGCTATTCAGGTAATCAGAAAAGTACTTTTAAAATTATGTTTACTCTTTGAAATATTTACTCTTCAATGGTTATTTTTAAGGTTTTTTTTTTTAATGTTTGTTTGAGTTTTGTTACTGAGGATGGGACCCCACACTCTCTGTATGCTAGGCAAGCACTCTACCACTGAGGTACATGTCCAGACTTTGTGTGTGTGTGTGTGTGTGTGTGTGTGTGTGTGTGGTACCAGGGATTGAACTCAGGCCCTTGTGTTTTTAAGGCAGGCAGTGGAACCACTGAGCCAAATCCCCATCCACCCTCCCTGCTTTTTGAGACAGTCTCACTATGTAGTACAGTAGTACAGACTGGCATTAAACTCACTATGTAACCTAGGCTGGCCTCAAACTCAGCAATCCTCCTGCCTCAGCGTCCCTAGTATTGGGATTACAGGTATGCACAACCACACCGAGCTATTCCAACCTATTTTTAAATTATTACCGTAAAATAACAACATTACAAAATACTGGTAAGGAAAGGGAGAGATTATCCATAATCCTGTCATTTTGGCACAGTACCACAGGTTGTGTCTTTAGTTTGGGGAAATATTTAAGGAAGACCACCTACTTTAAATTAATACCTTTACCTGTGAGGCACATAGTTATAATCCCAGCACACTGGGGGGCTGAAATAAGAAAATGAAAAGTTTGAGTCCAACCTGGACAATTTAGTCACTTACAGAGACCCTGCCTGAAAATTTAAAGGGGGCTTAGGCTATAGTTCAGTATTAAGGATCTGGATTCAATTCCCAATACAACACACAGAAAAAGGTATGTATAAAATTACACATATAAAAATATACACAAATGAAAAAAACTGAAAGATACCATGTAAAATATGGAATTGTGGATAAATTTTTTTCTCTTCTAAACTTTATATAATATTAAGTCTGAGCTGGGCATGGTGGTGCTATAGTCCCAGCACTCGCGAGGTTAAGGCATGAGGATCACTGTGAGTTCAAGGCCAGCCTGAGCTACATAGCAAGACCCTGCCTCAAAAAACAACAAAAAAAGTTAAGTCTGTAATATTTTAAAGCTTGTTTATGGTTTATATCTGATTATGCCCATTGGGGCTGGGGATTTGGCTCAGTGGTTCTGCTGCCTGCCTAGCAAGAGGAAGGACCAGAGTTGGATCCCTGGCACCCCCCACACACACACACAAAGTTACTGATTATCCCTATAAAAATGTATGTAATTAATTACATTAAAATTAATTATAACCATGTGATCCAGCAGATCCACTCTTAGTTATATACCTAAACAAAGACTTTATGCTTTTCAAGTTCAGGGTCCTGAGTTCAATCCCTGGTACCAAAGAGGAAAAAAAAAGAAAGCAGGGAAATATTTGCTAAACAGAATGACTCATGTAAAATCAGACCTTTCTCCTTTTTTCTTCAGAAAAGAAAGACCTCTTTTTAATTGGATGGAAACTTTCTACCTCCTTGGCCTGGGACCTTTGGAGGTCTGCTGTGAATTTGTGTTCCCGCTCACCTCCTGGAAGCTGAAGTACCCCTTCATCCCTTTGTTACTGACTTCAGGGTACTGTGCAGTGGGTGTCACATATGCTTGGTGCAGACTGTACGCTTCAATGTTGACTGGCCCTCCTGTTGGCAAGACAAAGAAGCGATGAATAGAGGAGCTGCTTGGATGTAGGCCAAGCATTTATTTCATGGGAAATTAATCAGAATTGCCGGTGGCGTGGGCCATTCATTTCAGCAGGTCTCTTTAGAGGATCATTCTTCCACACTTGGCCTTGCCCAGCCTAGCAACCTGATTGTCACCATGGTGAGAAGCCATTTGCCCTTAAGCAGTAAAATACATCTAAAAAAAATCTTGCCTTCCCTGTTACAGTTGTTTGATACATTCAGACTGCTCTGTTTACTGAAAGAAAATAGGGAGTCTGATTAACAGCATAATTATCTATGGCCTATGCTGACTATTGTGAGGATATAAAGCATAATTAGATTCCTGAACTGAAGGAAATATAATAAATAAAATGCCATTTTGTATTTCTGCATGAAATATTTTTTGGTCTTCACCAGCTCGTACATTTTCCTGTTGGCATGCACACAGACAGATGGTGTACTGTTCCCATTCTGTACACCTTGTTCCAGGAGGCTTTTTTTTTCCTTGAAATTATACAATGACAATACTAAACAAAGCCAGGGGACGTTTAATGTGCTGCTTTGACCAAACAGCAGACACTACAAACCACAGCTACTCGTATTGAGTTAAAGACTCCTTGTACAGCTCATTTGTTCTTACAGTAAGCTCTGTAATTCCGAGAAAGCTGCCACTTAAACTTTCCCTCAGGTGAACAAACCAAAGTGGTTTTTGCAGACTCTGTTCTTGCTCTCCCTTCTTTGAAAGTACTTCATACATATTTTTTACTCAGGACCTCAGTTTACCTAATATCTGCTGTATGTTCAAATTCACCCAGTACTTAGCCAACACCAGAACTTTAACACATTTTATTTATCCATTATCCTCTAGGATCAGAGAAAGTCTAAGGTCAGTGGTCTTTGGGGATGTTAACCCCGTTGCCCCATCCCTCAAATTCAGTCTTATCTTCCCAGACTTCTTTTAAGTCTGCTGTTGCAGAGGTCAAGATGGGGATTATGAACCACGTATGGTGGTGCACACCTGTAATCCCAGCATTTGGGGGACTGAAGCAGGAGATTGAGAGTTTGAGGCCAGGCAGACCTACCTAGCTAGACCCTGTCTCAAAGGTAAGTAATCAAAGAGACAAAAGCATCCCTCTTCTAATCTTGCCCCAGTGTCCCCTACACCCTTGTCCAGCTGTCTCAGCAATTTAAAATTCTCATGTCCCATGCTGTGTTGGACCTCTGCTTTCATTCACTCATGCTACTTCCTTCCCTTCTCTTCTGGCTTTTCTACCTTGTCACCTGATTTACATACTTCAGGATGCTTCCTAAAGCTGTGGGTGACTCAGTGATAGAGCACTTGCCTAGCATGTGCAGGGCCCTGGATTGGGTTCAGTCCTCAGCACTGAAGGAAAAAAAAATTCAACCCATGTGCTGCCATGCCTGTGAATATAGAGGTAGCACTGCATAATGATTAAAAAGCTGGGTGTGGTACACATGCCTGCAATCCTAGTACTTGGGAGGCTGAGGCAGGAGGAACACTATAAATTCAAGGCCAGCCTGAACTACATAGCAAGACCCTGTCTCAAAACAAAACAAAATAATTGAGAAATAAGAGACCCTCAAATCATACAGCTTTGTTGGAAATCCTGCCTCCCCCAATTTTTTGTTTTGTTTGGTTTGGTTTGGTTTCGTTTGGTACCAGGGATTGAACTCAGGACCTTGTTCTTTTGAGGAAGGCAGCCGCTCCACTGAGCTAAATCCCGACCCTTCTCCCCCACTTTTTATGGCACTGGGGATCGATTCCATAGCCTGGCTCATGGAATGCAAGTGTTCTACCTCTGAGGTACATTCCCAGCCCTCTTTATTTTTTCTTTAACAGGTAGGCAACTTATTTAACTCTGCTTTGTATTAATGTCCTCTTTTCTAAAATAATTGCATAAAAGTTTAAAACACTGGTTAGGGCCAGGGATTTAGCTCAGTGGTTCCGCCACCTGCCTCGTAAGCACAAGGGCCAGAGTTCAATCCCTGGTACCAAAAAATAAAATAAAAATAAAACACTGGTTAAGTGCTCACTATATATCAGTTGCTATTTATACGAATCTTTTCCTTTCCCTTTTCTTTCTTTCTTTCCTCCCTAGAATTAGTACCTCTACTAGTTGCTCCCACTGACCCAGGGATCGGTTTCTACCATTAATTGCTGATATTTGCATGCTTATCTTTATTTACCTGTTTTCCACAGAAGAGCACACTTGATAGTCCCAGTTTTTTGGCACAGTTTAATGGAGGAGACACACCACAAAGGCCATGATTAAACCCCACATGTTACTAGTACAACTGTTAACACAAAAGAACCAGAATAGTGAGTTCCTCACGTATCAGAAAAAAAATTTAATTAAAAATGCATCTCAACAAGGCCAAATTTAATTGTTTTGCAGACTTAACTATGAGCGCAATGTGACAGTAGAACTGGAAGAGCTTATCTGGTACAGGAATGTCCAGAATCCTTGCAGAGCACTGTAGGTTTTTCATACTGGCCTCAGTGGCTCTAGGTTCTGCCCCGTCTTCCACCAAAGCACATATGCTTTGATCTGTTGCACATATTGGGCCTTCAGGATTTGAAGATGGGATGGTCCTACAGTGGTTCAACTCTTTATATGACAGAAAAGAAATGGCTCCACGGACTGTGGAATATCTGTTGGTACCAAAACAGTCTAGAACCCAGGCTTCCTGCCCACCTACCACGTAGTATTCCTTTCCTAGCACTATATTTTGTATTCATGTTTTTATACTTTGCAGAGTTGTGGGTGTTTTCAACAATTCCCTAGGTTTTATAAATTAAATGCACTGTTTTAAGATGTTTTGAAATCTAAAGCCGGGCCAAGAATAAGATTATCAGTGCCAGGGATGTAGCTCAGTGGTGCTGCACCTGCCTCTCAAGCCCAAGGTCCTGAGTTCAATCCCTGGTACAAAAAAAAAAAATAATAAGATTATCAAATTTTAAATAAGATATACAAATATTTCTTACCTACTGTCTTGCAGTATATGCAATGGACCAGACTTTGAGAAGATACCAAAAATAAAAAAAAGTAGGGCTTAGCATTCTTTTTATTTTTTTAATTATTTTTTTTTTTGGTACCGGGAATCGAACTTTGGCATTCTTAACTGTGTTTTTTCCCCAGGTAGAATAGAGCTAGAGCTGGGCAGAACCACAAGGAAGATGTACTGTCTTCCCAGCCCAACACTGGTCTGGTTTTCCTTGGTTTTGGGGTTTGTTTTTTTGTTTTGTTTTGGTTTGGTTTTTTGAGACAGGGTCTCACTATGTAGTTGAGACTGACCTGGAACTCACTATGTAGCCCAGGCTGGTCTTGAACGCACAGTGATCCTCCTGCCTCAGCCTCCCAAGTGCTGGGATTACAGGCATGCGTCACCACGCCTGGCTTGGTTTTCCTTGTTAATGGCTTCCATCTGGAAACTCTGTGAAGAAAACAGTATCAGACAGGCTCCTATGTAGCCCAGGCAGCTTCTGTGTGCAGTTAACAGAGAAAAAGACTCCATTAAAATAGGGGCATTGAAAAAGATGCTTTTCTTTAGTTGTTTGACTATGTTCCACTTCCAGCATGATGGTAGAAAATCTTCTTACCCATCCACCTTTTGTTTGTGCACCAAACAGCAAGCTGCTATGCTAATGGCAGTTGAGATTAGAATGATTTCTATAAACCTCAAAAACTTGAATCAATATAGCCATTAGTTTCTCACTGTAAAGTCCCATATTCAGCATTGCCACTTTCTAGAAAAGTCAATAATGATACTGATATTTTTTTCAAACTTAGGAGTCAGAAATTTAAAATTATTCTTGTACATACACAATACATAGACCCTGTCTCGAAAAAAAATCCTAGAAAGGTTCTCGGAACCCTCAACACTTATTTTTTATAGTTTTCCTGAAAATAACTGATTAAGTGGGGTGGGTGGGGTTCACATATATATATGTGCAGCTGTTTGTTAAAGGTTTTTTGTTTGTTTGTTTTTTGTTTTGTTTGTTTGTTTTTGGTACACAGGATCAAACTTAGGACCTTATGCTTGCGAGGCAGGCCTGGCAACACTAAGCTAAATCCTCTACCCTGTTAAAGTATCCTTTTTTTTTTTTTTTGAGACAGTGTTTTGAATTGTAGTTCAGGCTGGCCCTGAACTCACTATGTAGCCCAGGCTAGCTTTGAATTTAAAGTGATCCTCCTTCCTCTGCCTCTCAAGTGCTGGGATTACAGGTATGCACCACCACACATGACCTGTTAAAAGTATTCTTAATGCTAAATATTTTTCTTCCTTTGACCTTCACCTATTAGATTCTGGAGTAATACATAATTCCATTCCCATTTACATGACAGCCTCTAGAGTAAGAGCGCAAAAGGAAGATCCCATATTCCATTTCTTTTCAGTGCCAACTGTGTGCCAAGTGCTATGCTAGACGTTACCTTTATTCCTTCCTAAAACTTTGTAAATCAGATTCATTATTGCTTGAAAAAAATACTGACTTCCTATTAAGGGGTTCAGCACAGTATTAGGTGAACAAGGAAGATATAGTCTTGCCCACAAGAAACTGTTCTAGTAGGTCATAAAAGGCAGGAAAAGAACAAGTTGAAGTTGAGGAAATAGGCAGGATCCAAATCACAGTCTTTTAGGTTATTATAAGAAATTAGATTTTATTGTAAATCAAATGGAACCTCCAAGGGTTTCAGATTTTCTGAGTTGGTTTCACATACATAGGGCAAAACTTAAAATGTGCCTAGCCACTCAGTTCAGTTTGCATCCAGGATGCAATCATTGTTATCAATTTCTTGTAATCATTTCAGAGATAAAGATTCTCTGTATAAACACGCACGCACATACAAATGATAGAATGCACAAAAGCTTTATATGGACATTCCATACATAAACATTTCACAGTCTGAACAAAATCTTTGTCACATCATTATCTTTACACATCATGTAAAGGTGTTATTTGCCTAACGTGTACAGAATTTACATCAGCCTTCTAGGGAACATTTTTGGTGGTTTTCACTCGATATAATTTTAAAAGAAACACTGTGGCTTTAAAAAAACTATGGGAAAAAGCTTTTTCAGGTCATTCTAATTCTATAGAACAGAATCTCAGATGTATAATTACTGGACTAAATGATGTGAGTTTTTGAAACATTTGCTGCCTTCCAGGAAATTTCCAATACATATTCTCCGGGATCATGTTAACTTGAAATATTGCAGATCAGGGAGTGCTAGGGAATGCTTTTTTTATAGGAGTACAAAGGCCATCCTTTATTCTTTTCATAGTCAAGGAGATGGAACCCACAGCCGCATTCATGCTAAGCAACCGCTTTACACTGAGCTACACTCTTTCCCCTCATCCTTTAATTGCTCTTAGCTGGTATTTAACTCTTCCGCTTAAGAAATCAATACCTTTGATGCATATACCTTTGCACTGACCTCTGGCTTAATTAGCTTTCTAGATAAAATGTTGAATGTCACTGGCACAATAGGAAGACATTTTACCTCTCTACAGTATTAGGAAAGGCTTTTTGAAGAAAACTGTTCAAATTTGAAAGCTTTCCATTATTGGAGATAGGAATTGAGCAAAGACTGCCAATCACTTGACAGAATGTCTTCTTTCATTCGTCAAACCTTTAAAAAAGCTCAGCCTTGAGCAAGAACCTGAAAACTGAGAGATTAAGCATTTTAGGGTTCTGCCACCAAAGCTGAATTTCAAGCATAGGCCAACCCATCCAGTCCTGGTGATCTTTGAATTCTTTGTTGCTGCCTGGACCTTAATTTTAGGCTTTAGAGGGTATAGCTGTGCGAATAAATGGCTGGAAACAGAAAAAAAAAAAAAAGCTTTCATGGGGCTTCAATTAATGATTCCCATTTGTGGGTATGAATGCAAAGATAAATCTTTGCTAAAGAGATATTCACGGGCAGGGAAGTCATAGGCAATTCCGCGTGAGGAAATCAGGTTGGAAAAATAATGTCTCCTAGCTTTTGTTCAGTTTAGTTCGTTGGTGTACCGGATCCTTGATAACCAGGTTCCCAAACCTTCACTTCCACCAAAAGAATTTGGCGCCAGCGGGCGAGCAGCCTGAGCTATTTTGTAGCCCGGAACCTCTTGTACTGGGTTCCGGAGAGCACGCACCGGGAAGGATTTGGGCGCTACACCGCCACGCACCTCGTCCTTCGGCCCGGCCGTCGGAGGAGAAGTCTCGCCGCTTAGGCCCCCGCGGTGGTTTTGCTGGTTTCTCTTGTAGTTAGGTGTCTGAGGCTAGGCCTCAAGTGGAAACGGCGTCACCATGATGGCCGGACGGCCGGGCCGAGTGCCCTTACAATTCCTACCAGATGAGGCCCGGAATCTGCCTCCGCCCAAGCTGACCGACCCGCGGCTTCTTTACTTCGGCTTCCTGGGCTACTGCTCAGGCTTACTTGATAACGGGCTCCGGCGGAGGCCGGCGCTGACTGCGGGTGAGGGCCGCGTGTGCGGGGTCAGCCGGGGCGAGGGGTTCGCATGGCTGCGAGTTGCGGGCTGCTGGCTCCGCCGGGGACTCCCCCACACACCCGGTGCTTCTGTTTCCTGAGCCTTTTCTCCTAGCTGGTTGTGCCTCCCTTCCTCGGGCCGCCCCCCGCCCCTTAGCTCTTAAGAATCGGGCAAAGCGAGGTTGTTTTTAACCATTTGAAGTGCGGGGTCAGCCGGGGCGAGGGGTTCGCATGGCTGCGAGTTGCGGGCTGCTGGCTCCGCCGGGGACTCCCCCACACACCCGGTGCTTCTGTTTCCTGAGCCTTTTCTCCTAGCTGGTTGTGCCTCCCTTCCTCGGGCCGCCCCCCGCCCCTTAGCTCTTAAGAATCGGGCAAAGCGAGGTTGTTTTTAACCATTTGAAGAAATAGGTGCGATGAAGCAGAGACCTGTTGTAACCCGACAGTGAGACTGTAAAATACCCGAGAATTCTATTTGCGCTGTGATCTCTGCAAAGTGGAGCGTTCATTCCAGGCTGGGTACTACTGCCTTTCTGTGGTCTTTTTAGGATTTAGTTCTTTAAGAAAAGGTTTATGAAAAAGTATTAGCCACAGCCGAGGAAACAGCACCGGAGGGGTTAAAGCAGTCTGTCCTAGGCCACAGGCTTGTATGTAGAAGATCCTGTTTATAATTAAGACCTGGGTGTGTATTTAAAACCAGTGCTTTGCAAACTTAATGTGCATAAAATAGCCGAGTGAGGTGGCACACTCTCCTGTAATCCCAACACTGGGAGGCTGAGAGGAGAGGATCAAGTGTTGGAGTCTAGCCTAACTACATAGTGGTCTGGGGACCACACTTTGAATAGGAGGCTTTCGACAACCAGTGTGCTGTGTTTCCTAGTAATGTGCCATTGGCCTCTGTCAAAGGCCATCTTGTTAATAGCTGACACAGTAGTTGTGCTGAGAGCTATGGATCTCCAAAAGCAAAAGGAGAGAGCAAGTTTTGAAGAGATGTCTTTGAAATTAGCTTTGATTATTAGGCAGAACTTGAGAAAGAGCTTTCTGTCCTATGGGGCTAGTGGGAGCAAATGAAGTCAAAGGTTCCCAGATGCGGGGGCGTGTGATGATTGAATGTACAGGATGGGGTAATAAGGCTACAAAGATTAGGCAGAGAATGGCAGTTTATTCTCTAGGCAGGCAGAAACCTTATAAGCTTTTGCACGCTGAGGGAGTACAGTGATCTAGACCTGTGTTCTAAAAGGTCAGCTTTGTCAGCAATGTGAAACACTGATTAGATCTGAGGAGCACAGTTAGGAAGAAAGCTAATGGAATAAATGGTCCAGGCTACCTGGGATCACCCCACTTACACTTCTTTGTATGTTTGCTCCCAGCCCATCAAAACCCAGCATTGCCAGTGTTCAAATAGTGTTGAAATCCCATCTCCCTTGGACTGACCTTTTGGAGCAGAAAGGAATAGTTTTGTCCATTGCTCCCTCTGAGGATAATGGAAGTTTTCTTTTTTATTACCATTGAATATTTGCCCAAGCCTGTCATTTGGTATAATGAGCTCCACTTAGGAACTTCACTTTGGGCAAGTGAATTGGTGAGGCTGTTCAGAGCCAAAGTTTCTTCATCTACAAAATAAGAATAATTAGCTGGGTGTGGTGGCGCACACCTGTAATCCCAGCAACTCGGGAGGCTGAGGCAGGAGGATCGGTCTGAGTTCGAGACCAGCCTGGGCTATATGTGATTTCCAGGTCAGTCTCAACTACATAGTGAGACCCTGTCTCAAAAAACAAAAAAACTAAATTAATTTTTTTCTTAAGCTTTTTTTCCCCATCGCCTGCTTTTTAAATCCTTGTTTCTGGTTACTACTTAGCAGTCCTAAATTTAGATAGTTTGTAATTGAAATATAATCTACAAAATTACCTATTTATTAATTTGTAGTATAATCTGGCAGTAATTTATGTTATTATGCAAAGAGAAAAATGACTTCCTTGTTTAGATTCACTGCATAAATGAAAGAAGGGGACAGTGGTTGTGGAGGAAGACCAGCACCCATAGAAAAGAGGATAGAAAAAGGAGGCTTGAGTCAGGGATTTGGCTTAGCAATTCTGCCGCCTGTTTCTCAAGTGAAAGGTCCCAAGTTCAATCCCTGGTACCAAAAAAGAAAAAAAGAGTTTATGAAAATGCTAAATCAAGCCAGGAATGGTGATGCATGCCTGTAATCCCAACACTCTGGGAGGCTGAAATAAGTTTGGGGCTAGCCTAGGCAATTTAGTAGAGCCCTATCTCAAAATAAAAATTACAAGGGCCAGAGATTTAGCTTAGTGGCACTGTGCCTGCCTCACAAGCACAAGATCCTGAGTTCGATCCCTGGTACCAAAAAAATAATAAAAAATCTTAAAAATTAAAAATTGAAAAAGGGCTATAGATACATCTATACTCAGTTGGGAAGCCTTTGGTTTGATCCTCAGTACCCCCCCCAAAAAAAAGGCCAAGCCATGCATTTACAAGGTCTTACTAAGTCATCAAGTTGCCCAGACTGGGCTGAAATTTACCACCCTGCTGCCTCAACCTACAGAGTGCTGAGATTACGGTGTGTGCCATCCCACCTGGCTCCAGTGTGCTTTTCTGTGTTGCCTTGGTTTATATATCACCACTGTGAGAAAGACAGGTAGTTAACTTAGAGGTAGTTAACTTACCCAAGACCATAAGTATGTATTAGATGCTATGTGCTAACATGCAAACATTAAGCAAATACTGGCTTTGTCTAATGATAGAGACAAATTACTGTAGTAAGTTATGTAGTAATAAAGTATCAGTTCATCCTTTTAACTCTAGGAAATGGGAAAACTTCTCAGGGGAATTGATATCTGAGTTGAGTCCTGAAGGATGAGTGTGGCACAGAAATAACAAGTTCATGGTATTTCAAGCATGAAAGTCTGTGTGAGAAATTCAGGGTTGCTCAGTATTGCAGGAATACACTGTACATATCAGGAAGTATCAGAAGGGGAAGTTAAAAGTTGGCTCTCAAAGAACCATATTCAGCAGTTCAAACTCCTTTTTGACAAAATTGAAGGGTACTAGGCTTGCATTTTAGTCAAATTCTTAGTGACAGAGTAAAAGCTCAGATCAGAGTGGAATGACCAGTGTGACAGGGAGACTAGATGGTGCAAATCAGAGAGTGCCCCTAAATCAAGCACAGGAAATATTTACCAGGTAAAATTGACAGCACTCAGTGACTGGATATGAGAAAAGAAGGTGGAGTAAAAAATGGTTAGCCAGGTGTGTTGACACATACCTGTAATCCCAGCATTCTAGGAGACTGAGGCAAGAGGATTTTGAATTAGAGCCCAGCCTGGACATTTTAGGGACTTAGAAAGACCCTGTCTCAAAATAAAATATTAAAAAACAGAAGGGCTAGAAATGTAGCTCAGTGCAAAGGCCGTGGGTTCAATTCCCAAAACCACCACCACCAGCAGCAAAAAAAAAAAAAAAAAAAA